CAGCACGACCCGCCTCAGCTGCCCCGGGTGGGCCTCACCCAGAGGACTGAGGAACTGGCCCCACTCCACCATCTCCCCTCTCCACCGCTCTCTGCCTCCTCCCCGCACCCACACTGGATTCCCTGTGGCAGATTCAAGCAGCCTCCGGAGGGGGCTCATTACTCATCCTGTGAATTCGGGCTGAGGCTGCTCTGAAGGACAGGCAGTGACAAAAGTGACACGGTGGCCCCAGGTCCGGCCCTGCGAAGCTCCACCACCTCATGGCCGCCTGCCTCAGAAACCAAGCCGGCCCCGTGGAGCAAGGGGGCAGACACAGAGACAGACAGGGACACATGCTTCCAGCCCTTCAGGTCATCCAGTCCAGGCCCAGACCTCACGGAGCAGGGGCCAGGCGTGTGCCCCATCTGAGCTCCCGCGGCCTGCAGGTCCGGCACCAGCTGACACCTCAGGCACCTATCCTGTAGCAGGAAGGAGACTGAACCCGAACCCTCCACCGCTCCAGCTCTCCCTCCATCTCCTGCTGCCATTCGCTTGACTCTGCTGCAAGAGTTGACGGCTTTCCCATAAAGGGGCCAAAGGCAAATATCCGACTTGGGCTCTGCCGCTGCATCTGGTCCGCCCAGGACCCTTCTGTGGAATTTGCTGTAAAGCTGTGAAAAGCTTCCTTGGAACTCGGTGGCCTGTGAGGCTGCGGCCGGGAGGCCCCACTCCAGGACTCGTTCCTTTGGTGCAGAAATGTCCCATCTAATTCATCGTAAAAATCCTTCTTTTCCTACCAGTTCCTGCCCTGTTTCCCGGCTTCCCTCTGCCCAAATACCCATGCTCCTCCCCCATTGGGCTCTGAGCTTTACTGGTTGCACCCCCTGCCCGCTACCCGGCTTCCTTGTCCGGAGTCACTGGGGGGCCTCCAAGTCTCAGGACCCACACAAGTCTCAGAAACATGGGACCCAGCACCAGGTCCCCGCCCCAACACCGCCTTCCCTGGGCTGCCAGGACACTCTCCCAGGCCACGCTGCCCCCAGCTCATCAATGGCCTCTTCTCTTTTTCCCAACCTCTCAATGCTGCGGCGCCCCAGGGCCCAGGTGGCCATCTTCAGGGTGACCCCAATCAGCTACCAACTCTAAACACCCACAGGCTGAAGACTCAACGCCAGCTCCCACTGGGGCCCCGCCCCCGACTCCTCCGCAGCGTCCCCACCAGCTATGGAATCAGCCCTCGAAATGTCTGAAGTGGCCGGTGTCCAAGATGCCCCAACAATGCCCGCCTCCCAGGATCCATGTCCTGCAAAGCCCCTCCCACAGCACAGGGCTGGTGACGAGACAGCGTACCACGTGTGGATCAGGTGACCTCATCCTGGGGAGGCCGACATGTTGTGAACAGCGAGGCCCAGGGTGGGGAACTGAGGCCTCCCCTCAAAGCTAAGAGTGCACGAAATGCCAACCCCAGTGGGGCCTCCGGGGATGCAACCCTGGCTGATCACCAACTGCAACCAATGAGCCACCTGCGCAGGGCCACCCAGCCTAGCCTCACCCCCACCCCAAACCCCGGCTTCCTGATCCGCAGAACCTGAGGGCTAAGGCCTGTCATCTGAAGCTTCTGAGTTACAGGGTGATGTGTCCTGCAGTAGCAAGTGTCCAGTGTCCTGCAGTGAGTCTCTGACCCCTTCCCCACCGCCACCCCACCCACAGCCTTCTCCGCCCCTCCGACCAAAACTCATACTGGCCAAACCTTGGCATTGCCTCGCCCTCCTCCCGTTCACCCCCACATCCTGTCCTGAACCTGACTGCTTCCCAGCCCCTCCACTGCCTGGTGCTGCTCACTGGTCTCCCTGTGCCCCCACCACGGCCCCACAGTCTCTTCACGGCAACCACAGTGGCCCTTGAAAATCACAAGTCAGGTTAGGTCAGGTCACTCCTCTGCCAAAATCTTAACTCCCCATTTGCCTCAGAGTCAGTGCTCAATTCCCACGATGTCCCTCCCTCACCCTGTGACCTCTCTAACCTTCTGCTCTCATTTCCCCACACACCCCTCCCCTTTAGCCCTGCTGCCCAAGGGCCTTGGCTCTGCCTGAACCCCACACCCACAGGCTCTCCCCAGCACCTCCTCACCTGCTCCAACCCCTCCTTCCCAGGGAGGTGAGCTTTAAGCCACACCAGGCTCCCCACTCCCCAGTCCTATTCACTTGGTTTCCATGGCACTTTCACCTCCAGCACGTGATTTTACTGGCAGCCTGTGGTCTGTCACCCCCAGAACAAGAGCGCCATGAGGGAGGCTCTCTGGCTGTAGCACTCACCGGTGTCTCCCAAGGCGCCCGAATACCTCGGGCATTTAATAAACGGCTGCTGGAAAGACAGATAAATGAATGCTAGGGGCTGTGACTCATCTGTACAAAACATAATGCTGCAAAACTTTCAGTTTGTCTCTAAAAGTTGACTGAAAACCAGTATCAGACTTATTAAACACAGCAAAGATGCTCTCATTCAATGTGCAACTATATGTATTTATTTGCAAAGTTTCTTTTTCAGTTTTGACTGAAAATTTTACAAAAGCTGATCTCAAAACTGCTGCATCACAAAAGCTTGAACAGACTTTTAATGGCACGTATTCAGTCACAAAGCTCTCACCAGGGTTCACATCCTTTGTACTCTGCTTGCTCTACCACGTGTGCTGGTACGGTGGTACTCGCATCTGGCCCAAAAACACGTGTCCTAAGGTCGGTGCCAGGAAGGCCGGCCTCCTCCTGGCTGCCCTCTGACTGCCTGCCTGCGGCATCAGCCCCTACTCAAATCCTTCAGGGTGGGGACCCTGCGGACAACAATCCCGACCATGGTCTTTCTTCCTCCCACCCCACTTCCACTCTGCACCCAGGTGCAATTTCACATGCCCTCCCCACTCTCAACTCTTCTGGCCTGAACATCCTCCCCTCCCCATTTCTCATGTCTGGCTCTCATTCAAGAACCAGCCATTCAAGAACAGATGAGAAGCTGCTTCTTGCAAGAAGCCCCCCTGGACCAAACCTCACACCTCCAGCAACCCAAGCACCCCTATATGTCCTCTACAGGCGGGTTCATCACACTCCTAAACTCCTACCAACAGTCTGACCCCACCGTAGGGCCTAGCCTTGTTCCTTTTACTTCTGACAAACTCCTATCCTGCCTGAAGGAGGTTCCTCTGATCAGTCAACTGGAAACATACTGGAAAACATTCATTCTCTCTTCTATTTCCTCAGCTGCACTCGCTGAGTCTGCAGTATGTCTCCAGGTGTGTTTACACGTGTAGGCTGTCCTCCTGCCCCAAATTTTTGCAGCTTTTGTTCACCATGGTATGGCTACTACCCAGCACACAGCAGGGGTTCACATAATTTGCGGGAAAAACACGAGAGCAAAGAAGACGCGCTAGGGCAGGCCTCCAAGCCCAGCAGGAGGAGGAAGAGGCCGGGTGACGGAGCAGCGGAGAGAACGGGCTCTGGAGACAACCAGCCAACCGCGGGGCCTGCCTGTGGCGGGCACCCGCGTCCTTCGCGGCTGAGAGGCGGGAGCGGGCCTACCTCGGCGTCGCGGTTGAGGCGGTACACGTAGAGCTGCGAGGTCCCGGCCACCACGAGGTTGCGCTCGCTGTTGTTGAAGAAGTTGCAGTACATCGAGAACTCCAGGCCGGTGGGCGGGTG